GTTAATGGGGAGGATAAGTATTGTAAGGGTTGTTAAATGTGGGGGAGATAAGCATTGTAAGGGTTGTTAATGGGGGAGGATAAGTATTGTAAGGGTTGTTAATTGGGGGAGGATAAGTATTGTAAGGGTTGTTAATATGGGGAGGATAAGCATTGTAAGGGTTGTTAATGTGGGGAGGATAAGCATGTAAGGGTTGTTAATGTGGGAGGATAAGTATTGTAAGGGTTGTTAATGTGGGGAGGAACATTGTAAGGGTTGTTAATGTGGGGGAGGATAAGTATTGTAAGGGTTGTTAATATGGGGAGGATAAGTATTGTAATTTGTTAATGGGGAGGATAAGTATTGTAAGGGTTGTTAATATGGGGGAGGATAAGTATTGTATGGTTGTTAATGTGGGGGAGGATAAGTATTGTAAGGGTTGTTAATATGGGGAGGATATATTGTAAGGGTTGTTAATGTGGGGAGGATAAGTATTGTAAGGGTTGTTAATGTGGGGAGGATAAATATTGTAAGGGTTGTTAATGTGGGGGAGGATAAGTATTGTGAGGTTGTTAATGTGGGGAGGATAAGTATTGTAGGGTTGTTAATATGGGAGGATAAGTATTGTAAGGGTTGTTAATGTGGGGAGGATAAGTATTGTAAGGGTTGTTAATGTGGGGGAGGATAAGTATTGTAAGGTTAATATGGGGAGGATAATATTGTAAGGGTTGTTAATATGGGAGAAAAATAATGTGGGAGATAAATAGGGTTGTTAATGGGGAGGAAATATTGTAAGGTTGTTAATGGGGAGGATAAGTATTGTAAGGTTGTTAATATGGGGAGGATAAGTATTATGAGGTTGTTAATGTGGGGAGGATAAGTATTGTAAGGGTTGTTAATGTGGGGAGATAAGTATTGTAAGGGTTGTTAATGTGGGGAGGATAAGTATTGTGAGGTTGTTAATATGGGGAAAAAAGGTTGTTAATATGGGAGGATAAGTATTGTAAGGGTTGTTAATGTGGGAGGATAAGTATTGGGTTGTTAATGTGGGGAGGATAAGTATTAGGGTTGTTAATGTGGGGGAGGATAAGTATTGTAGGGGTTGTTAATATGGGGAGGATAAGTATTATGGGTTGTTAATGTGGGGGATAAGTATTGTAGGGTTGTTAATGTGGGAGGATAATATTGTAGGGTGTTATAGGGAGGATAAGTATTGTAGGGTTGTTAATGTGGGGAGGATAAGTATTGTGAGGGTTGTTAATGTGGGGGGGATAAGTATTGTAAGGGTTGTTAATGTGGGGAGGATAAGCATTGTAGGGTTGTTAATGGGGAGGATAAGTATTGTAGGGTTGTTAATATGGGGAGGATAAGTATTGTAAGGGTTGTTAATGTGGGGAGGATAAGTATTGTAAGGGGTTGTTAATGTGGGGAGGATAAGTATTGTAAGGGTTGTTAATGTGGGGAGGATAAAGTATTGTAGGGTTGTATATGGGGGAGGATAAGTATTGTAAGGGTTGTTAATGTGGGAGGATAAGTATTGTAAGGGTTGTTAATGTGGGAGGATAAGTATTATGGGGTTGTTAATGTGGGGAGGATAAGTATTGTAAGGGTTGTTAATGTGGGGAGGATAAGTATTGTAAGGGTTGTTAATGTGGGGAGGATAAGTATTGTAAGGGTTGTTAATGTGGGGGAGGATAATATTGTAGGGTTGTTAATATGGGGGAGGATAAGTATTGTAAGGAGTTGTTAATGTGGGGAGGATAAATGTGTAAGGGTTGTTAATGTAGGGGAGGATAAATATTGTAGGGTTGTTAATGTGGGGAAGGATAAGTATTATGAGGTTGTTAATGTGGGGGAGGATAAGTATTGTAAGGGTTGTTAATATGGGGAGGATAAGTATTGTAGGGTTGTTATGTGGGGGGAGGATAAGTATTGTAGGGTTGTTAATGTGGGGAGGATAAGCATTGTGGGTTGTTAATGTGGGGAGGATAAGCATTGTAAGGGTTGTTAATGTGGGGAGGATAAGTATTGTAGGGTTGTTAATATGGGGAGATAAGTATTGAGGGTTGTTAATATGGGGAGGATAAGCATTGAGGGTTGTTAATGTGGGGAGGATAAATATTGTAGGGTGGTTGTTAATGTGGGGATACGTATTGAGGGTTTTATGGGGGAGGATAAGCATTGTAGGGTTGTTAATGGGGGAGATAAGTATTAAGGGTTGTTAATGGGGAGGATAAGTATTGGGGTTGTATGGGGAGGATAAATTGTAAGGGTTTTAATATGGGGGAGGATAAGTATTGTAGGGTTGTTAATGTGGGGAGGATAAGTATTGTAAGGGTTGTTAATATGGGGAGGATAAGTATTGTGGGGTTGTTAATGTGGGGAGATAAGTATTGTGAGGTTGTTAATATGGGGAAAGTATTGTAGGGTTGTGTGGGGGAGGATAAGTATTGTAGGGTTGTTAATGTGGGGAGGATAGAAGTGTGTGAGGGTTGTTAATGTGGGGAGGATAAGCATGGTAAGGGTTATTAATATGGGGATAAGTATTGGGGTTGTTAATATGGGGAGGACAGTTGTAAAGGTTATTATGTGGGAGGATAGAATTGTTAGGGTTGTTAATGTGGGGGATGATATTGTAAGGGTTGTTAATGTGGGGAGGATAAGTATTGTAGGGTTGTTAATGTGGGGAGGATAAGTGTGTAGGGTTGTTGTGTGGGGGAGGATAAGTATTGTAGGGTTATTAATATGGGGAGGATAAATATTGTGGGGTTGTTAATATGGGGGAGGATAAGTTGTATGGGGTTATGTGGGGAGGATAAATATTGTAGGGTTGTTGTGTGGGGATAAGTATTGTGGGGTTGTTAATGTGGAGGATTAAGTATTGGGGTTGTTAATGTGGGGAGGAAAAGATTGTTAGGGTTGTTATATGGGGAGGATAAATATTGTGAGGGTTGTTAATATGGGGAGGATAAATTGTAGGGTTGTTGTGGGAAGGATAAGTCTGTAAGTGTTGTTAATGTGGGGGAGATAAGTATTGTAGGGTTGTTAATGGGGGAGATAAGTATTGTGAGGTTGTTAATGTGGGAAGGATAGTATTATGGGTTGTTGTGGGGAGGATATAAGTGTAGGGTTGTTAATGTGGGGAGATAAGTATTGTAAGGATTGTTTATGTGGGGGGGATATCGTGGTCGCTGGTAAAACATTAAGTCCTTGAGGAAGTTTTAGTATTGTAAGTTAATCCAGTTTATTTTGTTTTAAAAGTTTGATTTACATATTTACATTTAGATTGATTTACATATAGTATATTATTTACATTGTTTATATTAGTGTGTGTGTGTGTGTGTGTGTGTATGTGTGTGTGTGTTCCTTATATACAGGTTCTTTACCCTACCTAACCTGCACCCCCATGCAGGCTCACCCTACACCTCATCACCCCTACACTACACCCTCAGCACACCCTCATCCACCCCTACACTACACCTCGTACACCCTCATCACCCTACCTACACCCTCTACATGCACACTACACCCTCATACATCTACCTACCCTCTACACCCCTACGCTACACCCTCATCACCCTACACTACACCCTCGTACACCTACACCTTACACCCTCATACACCCTACACTACACCCTCGTACACCCTACACTACACCTGACCCTACTACCTCATACAACACCCCTCTACCCACTACACCCTCATTACCTACTACACCCTCATACACCCTACACCTATACCCTACACTACACCTCATACACCCTACACACCCTCATACACTACACCCCTCATACACCCCTACAACACCCTCGTACCCTACACCACCCTCGTACACCCTACACTACACCCTGCACACCCCTACACCACACCCTGCACACCCTACACTACACCCTCGTACACCCCACACCACACCCTTGTACACCCCTAATACACCCTCGTACACCCTACACTACACCCTGTACCCACACTACACCTCGTACACCCTACACCACACCCTTGCACACCCCACACTACACCCTCGTACACCCTACACCACACCCTCGTACACCCTCATCCACCCACACTACACCCTACACCCACTACACCCACACCCCACACACACCCTCACACCCCACACCACACCACACCCTCATCCACCCCACACCCCTGTACACCCCACACACACTGTACACCCCACACTACACCCTCACACCCCACACCACACCCTCGTACACCTCATCCACCCACACTACACCTCTACACCCTACACTACACCCTGTACACCCTACACCACACCCCGTACACCCTCATCCACCCCACCTACACTGTACACCCCACACTACAACCTCATCCACCCCACACCCCTACACCCCACACTACACTGTACACCCACACCACACCCTCACACCCCCTCATCCACCCCTACGCTACACCCGTACACCCCTACACTACACCCTCGTACACTCATCCACCCTACGCTACACCCTCATCCACCCCACACCCTCACACCCTACACTCCCTGTACACCCCACACCACACCCTCTACACCCCCATCCACACCTACACTCACCACCTGCACACCCTACACTACACCCTCGTACACCCTCATCCACCCCTACACCCACACACTACGTACACCCTACACTACACCTTGCACACCCTACACTACACCTGCACACCCTCATCCACCCTACGCCACACACCTCGTACACCTCTACACCACACCCTCGTACACCTACACTACACCTCGTACACCCTACACCCGGATTCAAAGTTTATTTTCTCCTCGGGTTATGTGAGATCCCTTGTAAGAGGACCACTTGTGGCTGTACACAGAGAGGGTGGCGTAATGGTCTCCAATATATACACACTCTCTCTCTCTCTCTCTCTCTCTCTGTATCACATAAAAGCAAGTGAGAGATGAGAGAAATATATGAGAGAAAATTGCTCTTGTTACTATAATCAATAGTTGTTGTTTTTATAATCTATACTTGTTGTTGTTTAATATGACGATGAATTAATTGTTGTTGTTGTTGTTACAGGAGCTGCTTGGTGACCATGGGGGAGCCGCCGCACCACTCTCCTCCCTCGACCCTCTTGACACTATCTTTGTCAAGCACGTGAGGCCAGGCTCTGCTGCCCACCTGGCTGGCCTCAGGACTGGTGAGTCTTACCTCCTCTGTATGTATGTGTGTATGCATGGTGTAATGGTCAGCTTGCTCTCCTCGCAACAGAGTGGACCCGGGTTCGATCCCCGGGCAGGGTGAGACTATCGGCAAGTTTCTTTACGCCATTTGCCTCTGTCTACCCAGCAGTAATGGAGGACCTGGATGTTAATCGATTTGCGGATCGTGTTCCCGGGTAATGATTAGCCAGTGCAGTTGTCCGGTCTTCTCTGACTGTTCCTTGACACTGGGTCATTCAGCTCGTTAACTTAGGTGGGTTGTTGTGTTGGCGACAGCTTCTACACCTTAAACAAATTCACGCCTAGGTGGTTCCTTGGGTCGGCTACACGAGGGGCAGCCAATATTATTATTATTATTATTATTGTATGTATGTCCGTTTTCCTCATCCCTCTCTCTCTCGAGGTCGGTCAAAGAGATAAGTGAGGGCCTCCTATTCCCGTTCACTCACTAAAAGCTGTTATCTCACCTCACCTCATATAATGCTTAGGCTGATAGGGCAGTCAAGGTTATTAAAGCTTAGGGCAATCAAGGTTATTAAAGCTTAGGCTGTTAGGGCAGTCAAGGTTATTAAAGCTTAGGCTATTAGGGCAGTCAAGGTTATTAAAGCTTAGGCTGTTAGGGGAGTCAAGGTTATTAAAAGCTTAGCCTTACTATTTTAGTAAATCTTAGACTGATATTGGAGTTAAGTTTATTCAACCTTAGGCTGATAACTAAGATTATTAAAGTTTAGACTAATAAATAAGTTGATTAAAGCTTAGGCTGATATTTAAACTTATTAAAGCTTAGCCAGATGGAGGAGCTATGTTTCCTAAAGTTTGGCCTGTTAAGTTTATTTAAGTTTAGTCTCGTGATAAGCTATTTGTGTGTGTGTGTGTGTGTGTGTGTGTGTGTGTGTGTGTGTGTGTGTGTGTGTGTGTGTGTGTGTGTGTGTGTGTGATAGTAAGGAAGTGTACAAGTTACATACACACGCAGTCACAGTTTTAAGTGTACAGGGGGAGGGTGTGCTGAGAGATGAATGCAGTGGTGTACAGCTATGGTTTGTTGGGTGTTGAAAGTCACTCCCACTCACTCTCCTACCCACCTCTCCCCTCTCCCACCTCCCTCCTCTCCTTTCCTCACCCTCCCCCTTACCTCTCCTAGCGTGTTGCGTCATTCGCCTTATTCCTTCATTGGAGACAAGAACGCAACACATTTATTTCCTAAAAGTCCAACTGTAATTTCGACATATTGTTTTTATTACCCGTTGCCCTCAAGTGCACCGCCAGTTTGGGTTCGTTTCACGTTTATATATGAACCTTTGTGAATCCCGACTCCGAACCCGACCACGGATTTGGTTGACTCCGACACTTAATAAAGGGTTCGGGTTCTCAAGTGGTTCGTAGTGATCAATTGCATTACATTCTGATAAGACTCATTGTACATCATTTGACAGTGAGTAATTAATGATGAAGATGAGATAGAGGTCTGGGTTATGATTACGTCACGCCAGACAAACCTGAATACATTTTAGTTGTGTTTATTTATCGTCTGTGTTTCCTCCACACTACTGCTGTACTTGATGTTGTGTATGCAAGGGGAGAGGGTCACGGCAAAAACACAACGGTAGGTTAGTGTCACGATATTGGTTAGGTTTGGTTAGTTTTTGGTTTAGGTTTGGTTAGTTTTTGGTTTAGGTTTGGTTAGTTTTTGGTTTAGGTTTGGTTAGTTTTTGGTTTAGGTTTGGTTAGTTTTTGGTTTAGGTTTGGTTAGGTTGTTTTGGTTTAGGTTTGGTTAGTTTTTGGTTTAGGTTAGTTTTTGGTTTAGGTTAGTTTTTGGTTTAGGTTTGGTTAGTTTTTGGTTTAGGTTAGGTTAGTTTTTGGTTTAGGTTTGGTTAGTTGGTTTAGGTTTGGTTGTTTGTTTAAATTGTTTAGTTGGTTGTTTTGGTAGGTTTTTGGTTGTTGTTTTGGTGTTGGTAGTTGGTTACTTGGGTTCGATTAGGTTTTAGTTTTGTCTAGTGAGTTTTTGTCCTCCCCCCCTCCTAGGTCTTGCCCGGGAAGGAAGAGGAGGAGGCGGCTGAGGAGGAGTCTCACATTAACTTCAGATTTAGTATAACAAACACCAACAACAACACCCAGATGAACATTTATCAACACACACACACAGGTACACCATGACGCTAAGACGAGGAACATTTCTATTGATTTAAGTGTCGAGGGGTCACAGTTCAAGGTGAGTATGACCCAGAAAGGAAAGCAGGTTTTTGTCAAGTGTTCGAGTAGTGGTTACCTGTCGTTCTACATGATGCTCCTTCACTAAGTTTGGCTAGTTAGGTCACCCTCCCCCACGCACAGTATAGCAAGGCTAGTTAGGTCACCCCTCCCCCCATCACGCACAGTATAGCAAGGCTAGTTAGGGTCACCCTCCCCCCATCACGCACAGTATAGCAAGGCTAGTTAGGTCACCCTCCTCCCCCCCATCACGCACAGTATAGCAAGGCTAGTTAGGTCACCCTCCCCCCCCAATCACACAGTATAGCACATAGGGTCACCCCTCCTCCCCCATCACGCACAGTATAGCAAGGCTAGTTAGGTCACCCTCCCCATCACGCACAGTATAAGGCTAGTTAGACTCCTCCCCATCACGCACAGTAGCAAGGCTATAGGTCACCCTCCTCCCCCCATCACGCACAGTATAGCAAGGTTAGGGTCACCCCCTCCATCACGCACAGTATAGCAAGGCTAGTTAGGTCACCCCTCCTCCCTCCATCACGCACAGTATAGCAAGGCTAGTTAGGTCACCCCTCCTCCCTCCATCACGCACAGTATAGCAAGGCTAGTTAGGTCACCCCTCCTCCCCCCATCACGCACAGTATAGCAAACACCAGTTGAATAATGGTGCCAATTGGTGTAGGTTAGTTTTACCAGTTTATTCGAGGTTTGTGTACATCTGGTGGGGTGTTATGGTGGCAGCTGTGGTGGTCTTAATGTTCTTTCAAGTGGCGCGCGAGGTAAGAGTTCAGACAGAAATGTCCCACAGTCGGTCGCTACAATGTTCTTCAACCCATGTTCTATAAGATCAGACTCCTGATCCTCTAGCTTAAAGTCTCACTATACAAGGAACCTTTATTCTTACACTGTCTGATATGGCGGAGTTATATGTCAGTTAATCAGGGTTGTAAACAAAATGAATCTTTGCTTTATTACGATGTTGGAAACAGTTTTGTGGGTGATAGAATAGCAGTTGAATATGTAAACAAGTTGGGTATTCACCTCTAAATTGGGTCAAACTAGATCCTTATTTACGGCTGTTACATCAAGTAGACGTAAATGAACGTAAAATCCTGCTTTGTACATCTTGTGGGTAAATGTCGCTCACTGCTACACGACCATGCACGCCTCTGTAGCTCCCCGGGGGCCACTGCTTCCACTAATACATACATCAACACACATGAACACATTAAAAAAGGATCTACAGCTGTGAAATGTTGGTGGCCAGGTGACACATGTACGAGTATATAATGTACAGATCACAACACATATGTACCATTTTGTTCAGGTGCAGGAAGTGGTGTTGACCCCGTTACCGAAATGGCACGCACTTGGGCCGACACTCACATACTATTTCTGTATTCCTGTAAAACTAAAATCGGCTCTTGATAACCCAGGCATTAGCTGTATTAACCTTTGTTCTCATCATCTGAACTCATGATTCAGAGCAGTATTTTGCCTGTGACGAAATCCTGAGATAGCTGATAAATTCTTCAAAGGTATTAATCCTTAAAAATACGATCCTGTACTAAAGAAAAGTCATTAAGTTGTGGGGTTTATATTTAGTAGTTGTTGTAAACACCTACTTATATATTGACTCATATGCTGTAAGTAGATAGGGGGGAAAATAATTTATTCTATAGCGTTTTCATCACAAATTTATAGTTTTAAAGTTATTAAAAATGTTGTATTTTAATTGCTCTACCAATCAGCGTGTGTCGATGTGACGTGATAGTTCTGCGCATGCGCTTACTTCTCCATTAACCAATCAGCGTAAGCATCAAACTGGTATTTGGAAGATGTCGTTTGCGTGTGAAGGTTGTATTTTGGGTGACGCGTGTTATTCAGCGTGTTTTGGAGAACAAAGCTACTGCTGTTGATATTTTTAGGGATTACGGTGTTCTCGTTTCGTTAGTAAAGTGTCAGAGATGTGGTTCAGTGTGTCAGTACCGTGTAGATCACCACACATGGAACTGTGGTAAGAGACGGATACCGATGACGAGAAGATGATGTCTCTGTGGATTTATCACTTAATTTAAATAACTTACTGGTAATTATGTAGGACTAACCCGCGGCCGAAATTGATTGAAAACGATTATAAAAACGCTGGATTTTCACTGTTATTTTATAGTGGACACTGTTTTAGTTTGTGCAAATGTGTTAAAAATGGATATTTTTAAAATAAACGTTACTTAACATTTCTGGATATGACCAACAGATCGAACCAACAAACCTACCTAACATTCTCACCGCCCCCCGGACCCCCGGTATATTAAACAGAAAGAACTTACTATGATATGTTGAAATTTGAGTCAGTCATTTTCTGGATGTGAGATGTATTGGTGCTTACTGAGCCCGGGCAGCGAAGTGATGGATGATGGTTTCCAAACAACAACTGAATTAACACACAAACCCAGTTCTATTTCACGGTATTGCTGTGAACAATACTCTACTTAAAGGAACGATGCCTTGGTCTTCGAAAAACTTTAGGGTCTCGTTGTCTTTATCCCTAAATTCGCAAATTACGTCCATATAAGACCGGCAACAACCTTCACACGTCATGCTGAAAATGAAACTGCCTTATTACCGCCGGCAAGACAAACTAGTATGCGCCTAGGCGCCTAATTATCCATGAAACGAAAAATTTCCACAAGAAATGATTATCATATTACAACTCACTGATGAAAATAATGTTAGAAAATAAACAGTAATGAAAACAACTCGTCGCCGGGTTAGTCCTTTATGTTAACCAACTTACTTTGGTATTATTTTAGTTATGTACAGCCATCTCATTCGGGGATACACGATGAATTACACCATAAAAGCCTGATGTTCAATACCTGTACAGGTGTTGGCAACTAAATTGCCAGTTGGTGATCTCTGGGCCTTTACATGTAGTCAGACAGTAATGCATTAAATCCCACTTATCGGATTTTTCCTCGCTTTATCAGTAAAACTCAAAATCTCTTGATATGGATACTTAGTGTTAACTTAATTATATTTACAACGTCTACTGTAGTTCTACCCACAAGACTAAAAAATATGTTGATATAGCCTTTAATAAAACAAATGACTCGCAGATTCCCCCCTCAAATGCGCCTTTTCACCATCACCGTAGTATTATAGGTCACTGATATATTAAAGAAAGATGATAGGACTCCCTGAAAACTAAACATGACGGCATCGCCATCTTATATATGACGTCATTTGTATCTTATTTATTTGAGGAGTAAAACATCAACAAACACTTCACTTAGAACTACACCTGCCTCCACGTTTAGAATGAATCATTGGCCCTGAGGTGGAGGAGAGGAAGTGGAGATTAATGAGAGGATAACTTGAAGACGGGAGGGGCTATGATAAGGTTCAGGGAGTGTACAATGTGTGTTTTATAAGCAACTTTATTTGTATTTGTTTATTTTTGCTCTGTGTGGACGTGTCTTTTGTGTGTGCTTTTATTTGTCGTTTCACTTCATATCTTGTTGTCTATACTATTTTAGGTTTATTATGTTTACTGTTTTGATATATATTTTCTTTCTGTTTTGTAATTAATTCATTACTCTTCTATTTTATAACTCCCTAATTATCTTTTCTAATTTTGATTAATTATATGCTGAATAGTGAGAAATTATTTATGTACTTTTTATGTAATTATTTGGTAAATAACCTTTACTGTTCTCTAATTGTTTATTTACCTCAAAGTACAGTATATATAGTCAGTTGTTTGTTTACCCCCTTTAAAGTATAAATACTCATTGTTTATTAACTTGTTCAGGTGATCGTGTAGTGAGTGTTAATGGTGAGAGTGTGGGGAGCCGGACCTACCAGGAGGTTGTGGCCACCATACAACGGTCACCTCCCACACTACAGCTCATGGTAGTACCCCGGGAGCAGGACCTACTACAGCAGGTTAGTGACGCCGCCTCTCATTAGTAGAATCACCTGTACTATCGTGGACAAAAGTTTGCTCCCCGTGGTGAAACTGAGTCACGGGAATGAGTCTCCGACTGACTCACCCAGACTCATCTGGTGTGGGTGTGCTGTTTTATCTTATTTGGGGTCGATACTGCTTCAGTTTGGGAGGGAGCGAACTTTTGTCCACGATAGTACACTTGCTCCAAAAAGAATCTTTGCGATTTTGTGAGGGACAATATGACACAGTTAGAATAATTACAATTAGACATATACAGTGTACTTATATAGTACTTGTAATTCCCATGTGATGCTTGTACAGTACTGTATTATAATGGTGATGCCTTAACAGAATCATGAAGTTTATTCAGAAATATCAGTACAATTACGGATTTAGTAGCTCCCTGTGGTGACAGTACTGTCAGTACAGTGCAATATATCACAAAGGTGTTGCTTTAACCGAGGTATGAAAAGAAATGTCGCTACTGTACAATACAGTACTGCACCTTTAACTCCTGAGCTATTGTGTAAAAAATTATTGTAATTAATTACTCTTTTAGTCTGTAAATTAATGTAAATATTTATTGTATCATTCACTTTGACTGCAGGATAAATAGGTGGAACTGAAATGTTAAGATTTAGAAATACTGTATATATTTCCTATTAAGTAACTGTTCAATTGGACCCCAGTGATAGCTCACTCCTAATAAGTCTTTCCTTCTGTCTCCAACCTAACCATACTAGTAAGCCAAGGCCTAGTGGGCTTTCAGGTTTAATATAATAGACCGCAGTCTATTAATTATTGTATTAGGCCGCAGTCTATTAATTATTGTATACTGGTATTTTTTTTGGGGGGGGGTTCAAATAGAAATGTTTTTGTTGAGTAATTGTTTTATTTTTATTTAATTCTGTGGCAATGTCTCCTAGTCCTGCTCCAGTTTTTCAGCTGACTTTTTCTCAACACAGTGTAAATAAGACACATTTTTATATATTTTTTGGTACTTTAAGAGCAAATCTGTAATATGTGATTTGTATCAAAATTACAATATTTTTCTTATTGCAGGTGTTTGGAGACACAGCCCACAACCCAGAGAGTAACTTGGACATAAGAATGCCCAGTCCTGGTCTCTTGCCCCTACAACAATCCTTAAGACATTCATCACCAGCTAGTCTGATTCAGTCACCCATAGGACTCCCACCCACACAGTACCCTCCAAGTCTTTCACCATCTGCCTGGTCGTCTCAGTCATCATTGACCTCACACCTGTCCACAATGTCTACTGGACCTCACCCGCCGTCAGTCATGGTGGCTCATCCGCCGTTTCATCAGAGGCCTCACCAGCCCGCTAATGTTTCTCAGCCACACGGAGCTCACATCCCCATTCATCCCCACCAGCAGTCAGCCATCCGGGGAAACCAGTCCTCTGTGTTGTACAGGCCCAGCACCAGAAAACACTCCCTCTCTGCTGGAGGAGATAAACAACCAGCAGTCAGTTCTCCTAGCAGGAAACAGTCATTACCTGGGATGGCAGACAGAAGGCAAGCTGTCTATACTATTCAAAATAGTCTGTCCTCAGTGCCTCATCATGTGCCTTCTGTACCAGGGAAACAAAGTCCCTTGCCTACAAGTACAAATTTATCACATACTCCATCAAGTGAACCTTCTAATAACTCTGTATTTGGAGTGTATGAACCAATTCTCGATAGAGCTATGGGAAAAGGGAGCTGTAGAGACACTAGAAGACTAGAGCGAGACCCTGATGGGCGTATATACGAAGTTGTACAGACTAGAGTTATAGAAAGTAAACTTAAAGGTGGTGATGGTAAGAAGAAAGGAACTGTTAAACAAAATACACAAGGTGTTAGTAACAATCCTGGCGGTCATATTGATAGGAAGTCATCGGCTGGCGGAGAAGCTGATGCTAAACGAGTTCGTGTTCAATCCCTTTCCCCTCCCCGGTTAAAACTAGATCAGACTCACCCACGCAGTGCTAGTGTACACCCAAGATCTGAAGGATCAAATGCCAACTTACAAAGAGATGCAAATGTAGGCGGCAGTCACCAAAGTCTCAGTAGCACAAAAAGTGAAGTGTCCTCATGGAGTGGTAACAAACATAACTCGTATTCAAGGAGAAGTTGCACAGAACCAATCCTTAGCTGCACAGAAAGTGGCCAGACTAATGATAAATCAACACAGGAAGTTATTGACAGAATTAAAAAGAATGTGGAAAGAAAGGAGGAATTCTTGAGAAGACCAAATCAACCAATTTGGCTGCCAGCAAGTAAAGCTCCCATTATTCATAGTGATTATCATGTTAATCCTCAAAGACTTCCACGTCCTTTATGGCCACCACCGGCAGCTCAAACTCCTCCATCTCCTGGTGCTATAACGAAGGCACTCAGTTTTATCGTTGGTCCTAAACACGATCAGGTACGGAGAGTAAAGTCCGAGATGGAACACAACAATGACTCGGATGGTGCCAGAGACAGTAGTGTGCCTGCGTCTCCGTCAACTCCACAGGGCAGTAGTAAAACGGATTCTTTGTCAGATACAAGTGGAAATGATCTCGCAAACTGTACAGAAAACCAGGACTTGTCTTCAGCTCAAAGTACTTCTGTTGCATTACACAGATCATTAGTTGGCAATGCTGTACCTAAGCCATATAGTGGAAGTACTTCTGAAGCTAATCCAGCCAATGCGCGGTATGGAAAAGCTTTCGTAACTACTCTATCCCGTATTCAAGAAAATATTCCCATACCAGAGCTTGGTTCATGCTCGTCCATCGCAAGTCAGGGTCGTCCAAACAGCAAGCAAGGTGACGTATTGCATGGTGTAACTCCTGGTGGTACTCCAAGTGGCAGTGAAACGTCTCTCAATTCTTCAATTATACGGCCAATTCCGTTAGCTTGGGTGGGTGACAACGAGCGCATAAAACAGCTTCAAATTGTGTCGAAGAGAGCCAAACAGTTTGAAAGTAGCCAGTTAGAGAAAGAAGCCTCAACCAAATCAGCATTCCATCGCTTTGAGCTTTCACGACTGTCGCAGCGTTCTAAGATCCCAAATGTGGCCCAACGGAAGCAAGAGTTTGAGAAGAGAGAAGGTGACCATCTTCCTCTTGGTAAGTAATTATATTCTGTGACACATTACAGTACAGTACTACAATGATTCTCCTGCACCTCAAGAATGTAAGATTAGTTGGACAAGAGGATGTGACTAGTCTAGGAAGTGACATTAGCCTAATTTAGTTTTAACGTCAGTACTGTAGTAGAACTTGCAGAGTGTAACATTTAGTACACGGCTTAAGTGTTTTTAACTTATCGTGTATTGTCTTAACTTTTATGTTATTCTTTTTTGTTTTATTCAGAATGGTTAAATAATCTCTGTAGTCTAGTGACCGTATTTATAAGTTTTGTCCTTAGTTGATGAAGTCAATGTAAGATACTGAAATTTTTATTGGCATTAATAACATTTAACTCCTTGTGCATGTTGCCCTCAACCCAAAGCAGACTACCAGAAGACTTTACAAACATTCTCATAGTGTCAGTTATGAGTATTTTTGTAACAGTTCAACTTCTCTTTCATTTTGAAGCATTAAACTATATAGTACCTACTTTGTATATAAAGAATTACATTATTACCTGTAAAAACTAAATTACTAAAGAACATTTGTTTTTATTGTGTAAGTGTTGTATTTTGTTCTCAGAAAATTAGTTTAAATGGTGGTGTTGATTATGAGGATTGAGGAATAAATGATTTAAGGTACAGAAGTTACTTGATTCAGTAGTGGATTGTAGCAGAGAGGGAGGGAGGGGAAGACCTAGACAGTGGTGGAGGGATAGTGCAATGGAGGTGCTGGGTGGATAGACAGTCAGAAAGCATACGTGTGACTGTTCTTGCACGATCAAAGATAACCACAGTGTTGAGTCGTTTAGGTGGATGGCCGAGCTGCTGATGAGGTGAGGCTGGGATGTGTGGAGTGATGGGTAAACCAGCCAGACACATTGGGGCTGTGATATGGAAGGAGAACACTGTAGCAGAAGGCATCTACTGTATTACAATAGAAACAAAGATTGAATGAGTGTATAATGAGGAAGTCTGTTTTGGTTATAATGCGAAGAGCCTTTCATCATATGGAAAAAGACATACAAGAGTGAAAAATATATGTAATCTGAGGATGATGGAGGAGTTCTTGGGTGCTTTACTGTACAAGGAATTAAAGAGATGAAAGTTTTGAGTGTTTTGAACATTTTCATAGAATGTCACTTTAAGATATCAAGTTCTTTGCATTATTAAAATCCTTATGCATTAGCATGTGTAATTATTGCCTTCATCATCACTTGTAGATATAACGTCTTACTTTCTGTGTACTGTATTTTGTTGATAAAGTTTGAATTGTTATGCATGTGACACACACAAACACACACGCACACACACACTGTATAGTACATTCATGAACATACTCACCTTCAGAAGCCAATAATAATAATAAGTCACTTAATTGTTGTCATGTACAGTATTTCAGTATTAACGTTACTGTATTGTCGTACTGTTAATATTTCTCAGTAACCATTATGTATACAGTAGAGTATGTTATCATCCTCGTGTTTCCGTCGTAGTCGATTGTTTGCATGATTAGTTTGCTTTGTCAGTTGTCTGTCCAACAACCTATTTTGTTTTATGTTTTTAACTTTAGGTTTTGAGTTTGAGTTTGGCACTCACTACAATAACTCACCAAGGCAGCGTAAGAGTGCCGAATTAGTGCGAGCTAACTTGCCGTCTCAAGATGTGTCACCGTCCCCTGCAAAAGTGTTTAGGTCTCTCTCTGACGGAGGCAATGTCTTCCCCGTCAGCAGAAGGCTTTATGCATCTGGTCCTGGTAAGTTCATTATACAAAATATTTTTCATGGAAGATCAGTGATAGCACAGGTACATCAGCTTATATAAAGAGATGTTACAGGAACACTTACAGTAGTCGTGTTTGATTATGAAGTGAAGTTGTTTGTGTTGCAGCGGCACTTCTTGTTTTGAACCTTCATTTAATTAATAATTTTTACAGTACATAGATGTATTATGTGCTGTACAAGTATACTGTGTATCTATTGCCAGTTACCCTTCATGCCTCTAACTTGCATATTGTTCATGTATGCTGCTGTTGGTGGTGTCCTGCCTGTTATGTGTCTTGCTGTATAACTGTACCTTTGTTGCCTTGTTAAAATTTTCCTCCAAACTATTGTAGTAATTCTTGAGGTATGTTAAAAGCATGACAAAAGCCTTTCAATATCTAGTAATGTTTGGTTCTTGCTGTGGCTGCGTTTTAACCCTCTTGTGGTCTCCCAGCAGTGATGACATGACTTGAGACTTCTTGACTCAACATCTCTTAGGGATGATATGAATTAAATGCATAAGTGATTATCATTGTCTTATTTGTTGAACTACAGAAGATAATCACAGAACTATACTATATTTTTTTTAATGGGTGCAGCACAGTATTGTTAGATTGGAAAAGGCTAGATATTTTGGTTGAATTAACAAAAATAAATATTGTATTTGATTATATTATACAGCAGAGTTATTGTGCTAATTTTTGCATGTAGGATTTACTTTTTTAGATATGTACTACAGTACAGGAAAAACTAGTCATACAACAGCATTTTAATTTTCCCTTTGCAAATCTAGCGAGGCTCTTCTTAATGAATTCCAGTAATACAGCATTATCTCAGTCTTCAGCCTTTTGTTGATACAGTTTTTAGAACTTTCTCACAGATTGTGTTGTAAATGAATAATTATAAACATATTCAGTACCAATGCATAGGGCTTACTGACACAATTCAAGGACTACTGATTTTCTTTACTAGTGGTAATACTGTACTGTGTTGCACTTGGTGGGTCTGCGTGACTGACTGCCTCAAAACCATGTCAATTTTCTCCTCCATGTGTTCAGTGGGTAATAATAATATAAAACTAGGAAAAAAAACTCACACAATAACTGGAAGTAAATGAACATGACCAAAATTATGTGATTTAAACCTCGTCAGTTAAGTTAGTACTGTACTGTAGATATGAGGTGCACGTGCTGGAACATGTTATGGCAGTTCCCAGTATGTAATTCAAATCAAACGTTGGGGTCGTAGCTGAAGGTCAAATATCAAATTCTCTATTACTGGTGTGTGGTATATAATTGTACAACTATTAAACCAAGCAGTCATATTTTGTATCACAGCAGTGCCCTTGTTCCTAGTGTTATTAGTACAGTAATAATACAATATTTGCCATTACTATTTGCCATTACTATTTCCTGAAAATTTTGTAATCCTTTTCAGATGATGGAAGATCATCTCCATCAACCGTGGAAGACTCTGGACCACGAATTGGTATGAATCGTTCGATCCCCATTGGTGGTCCACATATACACTGTGCACCGCCCTCACACAGACCTCAGAGTGATTCTGGTAAGTTGTAAGAACATAACCAGTGAAATCATAAGGGATTACCAAACTACTGTAGTTATGGCTGTGAACAGCTACCCCACAAAGACTGAGCTAGTCTCTTAAAGTAATCAGTTTGGTTCTTTGTTACTGTATCTCCCTTACACCCCAGCAAGAATACAGCCTACAGTTGTATCCCCGCTGTATCCCTGACTGTTGAGTTGTTGATGCAGTAGTTTGCTTTTTCCTCAGCTGAATAAAATTGTTTTGTTTTAGCCAAATAAAATATTAAAAGTGGCATCACATAGTGAAGGGGTTAAGGCTGAAACACCATTGCTGTATATGACTAACGGCCAGAAACAAGTAACATACGGTAGTTTCTTTCTCTTCTACTTTGATAAGGTTTAGCAATAAAAAATTAAAGACTTGGTATACAAACTTCCCTTTACGGTCGATGGGGTGTTTGAATTTGCTGAAAGGATTTTAACCCTTGACTTGAGCTCTCACTTGTATTTGAATTGTTAGTTCATCATCGCAATACTCTCCTGGCCCTTATATGATCCCAGGGACCACCAGGCAGTTGCTGTAACAGTCCTGGTCAGAGGATAGGGTACTGTGCAAGGTGAGGCATTCCTTGAGAGATATTATTTAACTGTTGGTGGGTTCTGTCTGAGGGTGTTGTAGCAGTTTAGAGTTCACTGGTCACCTGTTGTCCTCTTGGTCATATCTCAATCCTTGCTTTTTATCTTCTGATTTGATGTAATTTTATCCACATATTCATTGATACCAGATCCTTTTCTTCTCTAAGTTTCAAGTTGATTAAATTTACATCATGATATATTTTCCTTGATGTTTGAAAAAAGTGGATGAGAACATTATTTTATGATGGGAATAATTTGCCGTCTTTCTGATTACAGTACAGTACGTACTGTACTGTACACTAATTTGATGAATTTTGCTCATAAGATTTTTATTTTAATATCCTAATCACATTAATCTTCTTCTGCAGATGTGTTGGAAAGAGAGCGATCAAATTCAGTTTGCTCGCAGGTGTCCATGACAAGCTTGTGGTCTACACAGTCCATGGATGAAACTGGCACTGCCAGACAAAAACCTGTTGCTCGTCAAAACTCGTATCTGAGTGCTCTCCGATCTCCTCTGCCTGGTGAGTACACTTCCTTGAATACAGTTCACTGTACATCTCCTGTGTATAGGCATTTTTGTGGTGTACAGTTGAACAGATAAAGTTTCTAGTTGACTTTTGGGAATGAGGAAGATGTTATCGAGAAATGTGTTGCAACCATGGAAAGAAGTTAAATTAAGAAATAAAATGTCTTTAAAATGAAAGAAAAAAAAACATATTTGCAACACTCACTTAAGATACTGTGGAGGGAAATTCACAAGTTTAGGGACATACATCTGCCGGGCAAATAAAAAAATTGATTTGAGTAAAAAAAATCGTTATACTGTATAGTTAATGTTCTGCTGTATATTCACTAATTGTCATTTGCTATCGATACAGTAAGATATGATAAAGTCTCCCTTACCAGATAGATAGGTGACCTGAAAGTCTGGTTACTCTAAACATTGTTACTTGGACAAAATTCCTTCATAACCAAATACTGTACAGATGTTAAGAGCAGTACAACACAAACCTGTAAACAAAAACTAAACCCCCAATATTGGAAAATGGAAAAGTGTTGAAGGTTATATAAAGCAGAAACTAAGTGTTGTACCTGTACAGTAAACCCTTGTGGTGTACAGTACTGAACTTTCATTGATGTGCTTATGTTGTAAATCTTTTACACAGAGAAAGTCAAGTGGACGATAGATATGGTGCTGTACCTACCACTGGAGGCTGTGGTGTTGTGTTAAAGTTGCTTACTCTTGTACTGTACATCATGAAGCAGGTCCTCACTACTAACTGATACAGAACACCACTGGTTTATCCCTCATCACTAACTTATTTGGAAACTCGGTCACATTTTCTCTTTTTTTATCCTCTGAGAGCTTGGCTGGCACTTTACACATGGTTCAGTATTTATTTCTTAACAGAATAAATTAAAATTAACAGTGGTAATATCACAGCATAGCCTAAGCCTGTAGCACAACAGCTAGACAAAGACTGGAATGGTAACCCCTCTGATTCTGGGTAGCCATCACACTACTGGATCAACTTTGTCATCGTGATGGAGTTTTTTATTTATTTTTTAAGTAGCTGGAAATGAGGAAACAAATGGGGAAAGTTCAAATGGCACTTGAGACTATTTACTGGAGACTAACTGTTAGGGACATCTGATGGAGGGAGACTACTGTAAAGTAAAAAGGAATTTGTATTGTCTTAATTCCCAGTGGCTTTCCAAAAGTACTAACCTGAACTCATTCCTGACTGTAGCTATAATACTTATATTCTGTTTACTGTACCAGGCATTATCTACAAAATTATATACTGCTCTATCATTACAACCTGGTAATTGGGTTCTATGAGATATGGAGATTACAGCCTTTATGAATTTGTATTTTGTATCTGTGTATTATGGAAGATAACCTAGATGCTGGATGTAGGACTAAGGATCCCTATAAGAGAGCTTCTGTAGGTGCCTCAACACGTGTGCATACAGTACTTGGTTAGGTTACTGGTCAAATGGGCCTTGATCCTAATACCCAACCCAACCTAACCAGCAGAATTAGGCCCACCACCTAATTCTGGCCCATTGTACTATTAGACTCGAGGCTAATGGTTAGACTGAGTTAGGGTTTATTAGGGTGGGCCCATCTGACCTGCAGCCATGGGTGAAACTGCCCACTTATGCCAAGCTTTTGTGTGCATGTTCCTCCCTGGGGTTATGGGAAAGAAGATAATGTGAGTTGATTAATATTGTTTCTTATGATGTATCAGTGAATTTAGAATGACTGTTGAACCAAAACTGATTTTTACCTAAACAGCATTATCTTCTTTCCTGTTCTACACGTATGGTACAGCACAGGTGTTCAGCCATTAGTAATTAGGCCTGTGCACCCTTTTATTTATTTATTTATTTATTTATTTTAAATTGATTTATTTTTGCATCTTTTATTTCCTGCACCTTTGAGGCTGTATGGCATGGGTATCTCTGCTGATTATATTTTACGCAGTACAGTATGAAGCACATTATGCAGCCTTTGTTTGATTGCCATTGGAGTCTTATGCCCCTTTTGCTTTATGCTGTCATGATCCTTTACAAAGAGTTGCTTCTGCCTGAGCTTTTTACTGTTGTAATTTTGATTTGATTGTTGACTGCAGTTTTCAAGAGAAGGAATATTACTGTACAGCAATATGGTAAGGTTTAGCTTTAAGAATTACCTTAGTGACACAAGAAGAGGAAGGCGAGACAGTTACAGTTACTACCAGTTTTGTGAGTGGTAACTGTTTAATGGAGGATTGTTCTTATTCCCACTCAAGCATTTCTTTACTGTGTTATTTAAGAAACTGACCAATAAACATGGTATAGAATCTCGCACTGAACAAATTACTCAAATCTGGTTTTGTCTCAGGTAAGTGATTTCTCAGTGACTTAAATTGAGAATCAATCCGTGAACATAACTCAGCTCTTAGGTATTCTGCTTCCGAGGCGGTCATAAGCAGCGTTTTTATATAAGTTGTATCGTATTGGTCTCGCATGTTAGTTTGATAGAAGAATCACAGGTGACATTTTGTAACCTTTAGAAGATGAGAAGTTTGTTTTGAAAAGCATGTGAGCCTTGTATACTGTAGTGTTGTTTAAGACAGAGAACTGACTAAGATATAATTTATGGTTTGGAAGAGAAGAGAAGGGGGGGAGAAGAGAGGAGAGAGACAAGGGGGAGAGGAGAGAAAAGAGGAGAAGGGGGGAAGAGGAGAGAGAGAGAGAGAAAAGGGGAAGAGGATAGAGAAAGAGGAGAGTGTAGAGAAGAGAGAGATATATTGTTTCAGTGATAAGGTGGACTAATAGTCAATCCTCAATGCGTTTCGTTAAATACAACAATAATAAATGATACTTGATGAGTATAAGTTATACATTGGTCTGTGTGTCCAACTATCTGAAGAGGAAAATAAGGAATTCAATACTGTATTAGTTAAAGTAGAACAGTGAAACTAATGTACTGTGCATATTTTTTAATTAATATCAATGATACGGAGAAAATAAGATCCTCCCAATTTTTATTTACCAATGTTAAATTTTCTGATGTGTGGCTTAAACTGTTGGACGTAATACAGTTTTCTATTTAGCTGGACTTGTACTCCATTTTCTATGATGCTTTTGAGGAGGAACACTTTCTTTTCATCGTTTGTTTACCATAGCATCAGTAGGCCCTGTTAAACCGGCAAATAAATGTTAAGTGCTTTTAAGCTCTTAGACTCCCAGCCTAACAATACAGTAATCTGAGTTTAATCTTCTACTACAATTTATTATGTCGAGAGGAAAGAAGATGGATCACAGTGAGATATTCAGCAAAATCGTCATAGTTGTTTACAGTTGGTTCAGCATGTACTGTATGTAGACAGTGAAGGTAAACTTTAAGCAGTTTGACTAATGACAGCCAATAAGGCCATCAGATGCTTAAGTAGGGATAAAGGAAAAATTAAATACTTTCAGTACAGTACAGTATACCAACAACAACAAAGAATACCCACACAAAAGAATAATACCCAAATAAGATGCAAAATTAGTGTCATTGGTAGAAGAGAGTGAAAATTGAAGTACTGAGTTGCTCAAATGTTCGACCAAGCGCACGAAGCTTGGTCGAACATTTGAGCAACTCACGTAAATCAATCATAATATCCCTCGAGTCACCCCAAGTACGTATTTCAGGGGGTCCTCGTGCATATCTGTTGCGGTAGTTTAAGCAGTAGTTCCAGCGGGCACACGGCGTTGTTTGAGTGTTGAATTGAAAGTTCTGTTGCGATATTGTTTCAGTGTTGAGACAATTTTTGGGTGGCCGCTGGGAGGCCTTTGTGATGTGAGAGGGAAGGAATGTCACATGTAAAGATCTGTTGAATAATCTTACGGTTTAGTTTTAGTTTATCGTGTGTTATGCAGATTAATTCATATACTGTTCTATCTATTATATGAAATAGCCTGAATGAATTGTGATATTATTTGTGAAGTATATTTGATTTATTTACCTATCTATGTTTTCTCATTTTTTTTATGTTCAGTCTCTCTCTCTCTCTCTCTCTCTCTCTCTCTCTCTCTCTCTCTCTCAACAGCTTACGAGGATAGTCAACGATGACATTCATGCGATATCAGGTGGGGTGAAAATGGTGTTCAAAATTAACTTATGAACTCTTCAGAATCCGGTCCCTGTTGTTGTTATAATAAGCCTAGAGGAGCATGGTTGCTGGACAGGTGCCATATCATCCCTGCATATTTTGTTTTTTAATACTCACTGTGTGTTGCCTCGATTTATGTTCGTTCTTTAAAATATAATTCTCGGGAGTTTATGACGTCACTATATTTCCCCTAAAGAACAGTACTGCTGGTGAAATAATTCTTGAACGCTTGATGGTACTGCCTGCAGGTTAGGTTATGTAAAAGAATTGCAGGTTACTTGGGGGCATAGGTGTATTTGTCTTCATAGCAGTTTTGTAACTTTTTTTTTACATCACGGGTAAAAGTGTGTGGGTCGCTGTATCAGGGAAACAAATAATTGGTGATGTAATTCCTCTTTTTTATATATATTAATGGTGAGAATGTTTGTTGTTTTATTATTTTAACACGGCTGTTGTGTCATAATTGTCGACTTAAATACTTTCGACACTGCGTACTGATGTTTCTGAGCATTGTGATTCATTTAGGGGGATTTTGTACTGCACTGTCACCACGCAGGAAATTACATTCATGTACTTTTTACTTCAGTCTACTTACACACACACACACACACACACGCGTAAATATCGCCCCGAATTAGACCACTTGTTCTGGTTTCCCACTTTCGCGGAGGCCCGTGTTGACCTGTGACCCGCCGTGCCCCCTGGCGGTAACAAATTAAGGCGGACGGCGGGAAACTGTCTTGGTCGGTACGGAGGTAGAGAGGGGGGCTGGGCCGGAGGTTTATGGTTTGAAGGAGGCAAGTTATGTGTTGGCTGGAATATAAGTGACAGGGGGATTGGTAGGTGCAGTGAGGTGGTGATGGGGTGGTGTG